TGTACACGGTTGAGGTGTTTTCTGCTGAGGGGCCACCACTTGGCTGTGAGCACCTGTGGCTGCGTGGTGGGAAGGGGCGGGTGGCCAGAGTGGAGCAGAGGCTCGGAGGTGTCTCTCTCCTAGTGCTGTGTGCCTAATGCGCCCCTGCATCTCCCCAGCTGGAAGATCTGGAAGTCACGATAGCTGATCACATCCAAAAGGTCATGAAGCTGAACTTTGAAGCAGCCTGGGATGAGGTAGGGGATGAGTTTGAGAAGGAGGAAACATTCACCTTGTCCACCATCAAGACACTTGAAGGTAAATCCTGGGGATGCCATTTCTGGCTGGCTTGCCTTACAAGATCCTTGGCTACTGTTGAAGAGCTCCTCCCGTCCCCTGCCCCCAAGTCCCCGAAGATCCAGGGCCATGTCTAGAGCACGTACTTCAGATGCCACTTCATTAAAAACTGCAGAGTGGGGTCAGGGGATGGGGGAGTGGTGCTGGCACCAGGGGGAGATCGTGGGTTAATAACACCGGGATTTCTCCCCACAGAGGCTGTGGGCAATATTGTGAAGTTCTTAGGAATGCACCCTTGTGAGAGGTCAGACAAAGTGCCGGACAACAAGAACACGCACACGCTGCTCCTGGCAGGTAAGCGGCATTTCTGGTGGGAAGGGCCTTGATGCCACCGCATCCTGGGCTGAGGGCTCCCCCTGGGAACCTGGGAATTCAGAATTCACAGCGTTGAATGTTCACAGGGCATAAAGAGACCTGCAGTGAAATGTCTCCCTCCCGACACTTGCTGCCAGTCATTCAGTTTCCCTTCCACCAGGCAACCAGTGTTATATTATAAAGGATGCTCTATATCCTTCCTGTGATCATAGGGATGTAAAAGCAAATGTGTACGCATTTCTCTTTTTAAACTCCAGTGTTTATATACAGGTGGTGCATATGTTGTTCTGCACTTGGTTTTTCTCTTGACGGTGCATCTTGGAGAACTTCCCTATTGATACTCAGAGCTTCCTCCCTTTTTTTTTTTTTTTTAACGTAATGTGAAATTTACCATTTTAACCATTTTTAGGTGTACAGTTCAGTGGCATTAAGGACATTCACATTGTTGTGCAACTATCACACCATCCAACTCCAGAACTTTTTCGTCACCCCAAACTGTGTGCTCATTCTTTTTTGTAGTTGATTGTTACTGTTCCATTCTATGGATGGACCATATTTTATAGGACCAGTTCATGTGTTGATGAACATTTAGATTGTCCTATAGTTTCTTTTTTTTTAAAATAAATTTATTTATTTATTTTTGGCTGTGTTGGGTCTTCGCTGCTGCACGCAGTCTTTCTCTAGCTGCGGCGAGCGGGGGCTACTCTTCGTTGCAGTGCGTGGGCTTCTCATTGCGGAGCACGGGCTCTAGGCGCACGGACGGGCTTCAGTAGTTGCGGCTCGCGGGCTCAGTAGTTGTGGCTGGCAGGCTCTAGAGCACAGGCTCAGTAGTTGTGGCGCACGGCTTAGTTGCTCCGCGGCATGTGGGATCTTCCCAGACCGGGGATTGAACCCGTGTCCCCTGCATTGGCAGGCGGATTCTCAACCACTGCGCCACCAGGGAAGCCCCTGTTCTAGTCTTTTGCTCTTACAAACTGTGCTGCAGGGAATAATCCCATACATACATGTATACATACACACTTTATTTTGCCGATGTGCACTGAGGGTATTTGTAGGGTAAGTTTCCCAAGGCTTTACCAGGTTAAAGTGCATTTTTCATTTTGGTAAATATTTCCAGTTGCCTTCCATAGGAATTGTATGCCCTTTCTCCCACACTTTGGACAACACATTGTGTTATCAAACTTTATGATCTTTGTCAGGTGTAAAGAATGGTGTCTCCGTGTAGTTTTTTTTTTTTTAGTTTATTTTTGTCTGCATTGGGACATCGTTGCTGCACGCAGGCTTTCTCTAGTTGCAGAGAGCAGGGGCTACTCTTTGTTGCGGAGCACGGGCTCTAGGCACGCAGGCTTCAGTAGTTGCGGTACGCGGGCTCAGTAGTTGTGGCGCACGGGCTTAGTTGCTCCGTGGCATGTGGGATCTTCCCGGACCAGGGCTCGAACCTGTGTCCCCTAGCATTGTCAGGCAGATTCTTAACCACTGCGCCACCAGGGAAACCCTCCATGTAGTCTTACTTTACGTTTCTTGTATATTGAAGGAAGTTAAGTATCTTCTCAAATGCAAAGTGCTATTTGTATTTCCTTTTCTGTGAATTGTTTTCAGATCCTTTGTCTAATTTTCTATTGGGTTGGTTGGTCTTTTCTAATAGGAGTGGGATTTTAAGCACTTACGGAAATTTTCAAATTTACACAAAAATGGGACCCCCAAGTACTCATCCTCCAGCTGCAACAACAGATAGTGTCTCTACCTATACTCGTTCTCCACCCCCAGATTATTTTAGAGCAAACTCCATATATAGACATTTCATATGTAAATGTTTCTGATCTGTATGCTTCTCTAAAAGCTAATGACCCTTTGTTTAAAAGGGAGGCAATACGCTTATCACACCTAAAACAATGAACTGAAGGAAATGTTTTTTCTGAGTGTTTATAAACAGGGTTAGGAAGCAGTTCTGCTTCAGTGCCCTGCTCACAGCTGGCAGCCCCCAAGCCCATCCTTCCTGACCACAGTGAAGCAACCCCGTCCCCCGGGTTTTGCAGACACCTGCGCTGTGGTTTTGTCATGGTGGGGCTGTCCCTTCGTCTGTGCTCTTAGATTCCGTCAGCGTGTGTGAGCGCCCCTGTGATGTCAGACACAAGCCATATGTGTCCACTAATTCATTTTAGCTTGGCCGAAGCGTGAAATACAGCTAGTAGAGTGATCTCTACTGAGATCATTGATGATGCTGCAGCTCAGGAGGTAAAGTGACGTGCAGGGATTTCAGCCAGTGCTCCTGGTTGCGGGCCCCTCCCATCTCAAGCCCCGGAGCTGCCTTCACCAGTTGTTGCAGGTGCCCCTCTCAGCCCAGCTCTCGGCCCCCTTCTGCCTTACACACCTGTCCTCCTCTCTTCTCTTCCAGGCGTATTCCGGGGGGGTCATGACATCCTGGTGCGCTCCCGGCTGCTGCTTTTGGACACAGTAACAATGCAGGTGACAGCCAGAAGTTCGGAGGAGCTGCCAGTGGACATCGTCTTGGCGTCTGTGGGCTAAAAGGCCAGCCTGCAAAGGACCAAGTCGTACCCTATCCCCCCCAACACTGTGCAGAAGTCGGGCCTTCCTTATGAACCCAGCGGAAACTCCTTTCCAAGCCAATTATATTCAAAAACAATTAGGAATCAATGAGGGTTTGTTTTTTTTTTTTTAATTTAACCCCTGCCCCAAAACTCCCTGCTGAGGGTAACTTTTGAAAGAGGGGGATGGTTTTAGCTTGTCCTAGAACTTGCTGCCTTGCCTGCCAGGGAAGGGACATCTCAAATGAATAAAGTGCTTGCACCACCTCTTGAATTGATCCCCTAAGGAACCATCTTATCCCTATAAATAAATCAGCATCATGTATTTATTGAATGACTGCTACTTCTGCAGACTCGTGCTTAGGGGTCCGGCTTCCCTACCCCGAAGAACACCTCTGCGTCCCGTTTGCACCTGCAGCCCTTTGCCACTGTACTTAGCATGAGGCAGGACCCTCTCACGGGCCCCCGCCCGAGCCCCATGCCCAGGGGCAGGAGCGGTGCAGGTTTGCTGAGGGAATGACAGCAGCTGGCAGGCGTTGAGTCTTTGCCCTTAAACCACCCTCCTTTTGTAGGAGATCAGTGAGGCCGGAGGGTCTGGGTGGATTACCCGGCTGTTGCCTGGTGCCAGGTCCGAGGTGGCCGGTGCACTTCTGCCGGAGGAACAGCCCTTACAGAGCAGAAGTCTCTGGTTTCCTCTGCTGGGCTTTTAAACGCAAGCCAGGTGTTTTGCCAATTTTGTGGCTGAAATACACCTGTAAAGCCTATTTTTAAAAAACATAGGCCTCAACCCTTAGAGATTCATGTTTGGGGGTGGGGGAAAGGTGGGGCCTTGGAAAGTGTTCTGGTGCCCACCGAAGTTTCAGAGTGACTTGTGTGATCCATGGCAGTTTTCCTGATGGTTTTTCAATTTTTGCCCGAAACTATGGGCCGTTAGTAGGGCTGCGAAGTAAAGAAAATTTCCCGATTTCACCCCTACGAGAACCTGGTGCCCTGGAGTCGTGGTTCCCGCTGTACGGAGAAGGGGCTGCAGGCCCCCGGGTCGCATCTAGGGTGTCTGCCAGCCTGCACCCTCGGGACCCTTCCCGGCCCATTCCCGAGGTTCGCCCTGGGAGGGAGTTAACCCCGCAGGGCAACGGCCCACACGAAGGACGAGTCCCCGAGGCAATAAGCGGCTCCTGCTCGGGCTCCTTCAGGAGAGTCAGGTTCCGCAGTCCCAACCCTCTGCAAGATGCGGGAGGGGAAGAAGCCGCAGCGCTAGGCGGAACCGCCGGCCGCTGGGGGGCGGGGCCGGCCTGCTGGGGGCGGGGCCTGGCGCGGGGAGCGCGGGCTCGCGGAGAGCGACGCGGCCGCGGGGGCTG